AGATTCTTGGAGGATGACTCACTTTGAATATTAATCGTTAACATTTTAATTGAATTGCTAAATTATGATACTTCATGTGAAATATAATTATGAATTTATTATTTAAATTGTGTTTAACTTTGTTCCCTAGAGCTTTGAGTTGAGGTGAGAAAGCCTCTGTGGTTACTGGTTTCATGGTTTAGAATGAGTACATGATAAAGATGGGAACTACTAATAGGGAACTCATGATAACATCCTTTGAGAATTTTGTGATACAGGCAAGTTCCATTCCTTGTCTTGTATGTAATGATCATGAATGGATGGTGGCAGCATTTCGTCTTCTACTATCTACTTTCGACTTCTACTATCTACTCTTCTACTTCTACCTATCTACACCTCTCCTTCCACCCCTCTCTGAACTCTCACTTTCAACTAATGACCCTCCTCGCTCCTCCCACCTCTCTCCCTCTCACCCCAAACCCTCACTAATTACTTCACTATTCATTTCTTTCCTCTCGTTTTCTCTTATACGTTTGTGGCAATGATTCTGTATTCTAGAGTTCTCTCTAGAGTTTCGGGTAACTGATCAAGTGACGGCGCCTTGTAGTCTTAGCACCTAGGTTGTCGAATACCTAGGTTACAAGGTGTTGAACCAGAGAGGTTGCCTTAGGATCTCTGGAGGTGCTCTAGAATAGTTAGCTAACTGGGGACGGGATAACGGACTAGAGAGAGCTGTTTCCCCCGGCCTCGTTAGTTAACTGGGGGGTGGAATAATGGACTAGATAGAGCTATTTCCCCCACCCCCCGTTACAATGGTGGCAGTTGTGTTGAAGAAATGTGATACAGGCAAGTTCCATTCCTTGTCTTGTATGTAATGATCATGAATGGATGGTGGCAGCATTTCGTCTTCTACTATCTACTTTCGACTTCTACTATCTACTCTTCTACTTCTACCTATCTACACCTCTCCTTCCACCCCTCTCTGAACTCTCACTTTCAACTAATGACCCTCCTCGCTCCTCCCACCTCTCTCCCTCTCACCCCAAACCCTCACTAATTACTTCACTATTCATTTCTTTCCTCTCGTTTTCTCTTATACGTTTGTGGCAATGATTCTGTATTCTAGAGTTCTCTCTAGAGTTTCGGGTAACTGATCAAGTGACGGCGCCTTGTAGTCTTAGCACCTAGGTTGTCGAATACCTAGGTTACAAGGTGTTGAACCAGAGAGGTTGCCTTAGGATCTCTGGAGGTGCTCTAGAATAGTTAGCTAACTGGGGACGGGATAACGGACTAGAGAGAGCTGTTTCCCCCGGCCTCGTTAGTTAACTGGGGGGTGGAATAATGGACTAGATAGAGCTATTTCCCCCACCCCCCGTTACAATGTATACCAAGGTAGTGTCACTGTAGTTGACACAGTGCTCATGTATACCAAGGTAGTGTCACTGTAGTTGACACAGTGCTCATGTATACCAAGGTAGTGTCACTGTAGTTGACACAGTGCTCATGTATACCAAGGTAGTGTCACTGTAGTTGACACAGTGCTCATGTATACCAAGGTAGTGTCACCGTACTTGACACAGTGCTCATGTATACCAAGGTAGTGTCACTGTAGTTGACACAGTGCTCATGTATACCAAGGTAGTGTCACCGTACTTGACACAGTGCTCATGTATACCAAGGTAGTGTCACCGTACTTGACACAGTGCTCATGTATACCAAGGTAGTGTCACTGTAGTTGACACAGTGCTCATGTATACCAAGGTAGTGTCACTGTAGTTGACACAGTGCTCATGTATACCAAGGTAGTGTCACCGTACTTGACACAGTGCTCATGTATACCAAGGTAGTGTCACTGTAGTTGACACAGTGCTCATGTATACCAAGGTAGTGTCACTGTAGTTGACACAGTGCTCATGTATACCAAGGTAGTGTCACCGTAGTTGACACAGTGCTCATGTATACCAAGGTAGTGTCACTGTAGTTGACACAGTGCTCATGTATACCAAGGTAGTGTCACTGTAGTTGACACAGTGCTCATGTATACCAAGGTAGTGTCACTGTAGTTGACACAGTGCTCATGTATACCAAGGTAGTGTCACTGTAGTTGACACAGTGCTCATGTATACCAAGGTAGTGTCACTGTAGTTGACACAGTGCTCATGTATACCAAGGTAGTGTCACTGTAGTTGACACAGTGCTCATGTATACCAAGGTAGTGTCACTGTAGTTGACACAGTGCTCATGTATACCAAGGTAGTGTCACTGTAGTTGACACAGTGCTCATGTATACCAAGGTAGTGTCACCGTACTTGACACAGTGCTCATGTATACCAAGGTAGTGTCACTGTAGTTGACACAGTGCTCATGTATACCAAGGTAGTGTCACTGTAGTTGACACAGTGCTCATGTATACCAAGGTAGTGTCACCGTAGTTGACACAGTGCTCATGTATACCAAGGTAGTGTCACCGTAGTTGACACAGTGCTCATGTATACCAAGGTAGTGTCACTGTAGTTGACACAGTGCTCATGTATACCAAGGTAGTGTCACTGTAGTTGACACAGTGCTCATGTATACCAAGGTAGTGTCACTGTAGTTGACACAGTGCTCATGTATACCAAGGTAGTGTCACTGTAGTTGACACAGTGCTCATGTATACCAAGGTAGTGTCACTGTAGTTGACACAGTGCTCATGTATACCAAGGTAGTGTCACTGTAGTTGACACAGTGCTCATGTATACCAAGGTAGTGTCACTGTAGTTGACACAGTGCTCATGTATACCAAGGTAGTGTCACTGTAGTTGACACAGTGCTCATGTATACCAAGGTAGTGTCACTGTAGTTGACACAGTGCTCATGTATACCAAGGTAGTGTCACCGTAGATGACACAGTGCTCATGTATACCAAGGTAGTGTCACCGTACTTGACACAGTGCTCATGTATACCAAGGTAGTGTCACCGTAGTTGACACAGTGCTCATGTATACCAAGGTAGTGTCACTGTAGTTGACACAGTGCTCATGTATACCAAGGTAGTGTCACCGTACTTGACACAGTGCTCATGTATACCAAGGTAGTGTCACTGTAGTTGACACAGTGCTCATGTATACCAAGGTAGTGTCACCGTACTTGACACAGTGCTCATGTATACCAAGGTAGTGTCACTGTAGTTGACACAGTGCTCATGTATACCAAGGTAGTGTCACTGTAGATGACACAGTGCTCATGTATACCAAGGTAGTGTCACTGTAGTTGACACAGTGCTCATGTATACCAAGGTAGTGTCACTGTAGTTGACACAGTGCTCATGTATACCAAGGTAGTGTCACTGTAGTTGACACAGTGCTCATGTATACCAAGGTAGTGTCAATGTAGTTGACACAGTGCTCATGTATACCAAGGTAGTGTCACCGTAGTTGACACAGTGCTCATGTATACCAAGGTAGTGTCACCGTAGTTGACACAGTGCTCATGTATACCAAGGTAGTGTCACCGTAGTTGACACAGTGCTCATGTATACCAAGGTAGTGTCACTGTAGTTGACACAGTGCTCATGTATACCAAGGTAGTGTCAATGTAGTTGACACAGTGCTCATGTATACCAAGGTAGTGTCACCGTAGTTGACACAGTGCTCATGTATACCAAGGTAGTGTCACCGTAGTTGACACAGTGCTCATGTATACCAAGGTAGTGTCACCGTAGTTGACACAGTGCTCATGTATACCAAGGTAGTGTCACCGTAGTTGACACAGTGCTCATGTATACCAAGGTAGTGTCACCGTAGTTGACACAGTGCTCATGTATACCAAGGTAGTGTCACCGTAGTTGACACAGTGCTCATGTATACCAAGGTAGTGTCACCGTAGTTGACACAGTGCTCATGTATACCAAGGTAGTGTCACCGTAGTTGACACAGTGCTCATGTATACCAAGGTAGTGTCACCGTAGTTGACACAGTGCTCATGTATACCAAGGTAGTGTCACCGTAGTTGACACAGTGCTCATGTATACCAAGGTAGTGTCACCGTACTTGACACAGTGCTCATGTATACCAAGGTAGTGTCACCGTAGTTGACACAGTGCTCATGTATACCAAGGTAGTGTCACCGTACTTGACACAGTGCTCATGTATACCAAGGTAGTGTCACCGTACTTGACACAGTGCTCATGTATACCAAGGTAGTGTCACCGTAGTTGACACAGTGCTCATGTATACCAAGGTAGTGTCACCGTACTTGACACAGTGCTCATGTATACCAAGGTAGTGTCACTGTACTTGACACAGTGCTCATGTATACCAAGGTAGTGTCACTGTACTTGACACAGTGCTCATGTATACCAAGGTAGTGTCACCGTACTTGACACAGTGCTCATGTATACCAAGGTAGTGTCACCGTAGTTGACACAGTGCTCATGTATACCAAGGTAGTGTCACCGTACTTGACACAGTGCTCATGTATACCAAGGTAGTGTGACCGTACTTGACACAGTGCTCATGTATACCAAGGTAGTGTCACCGTACTTGACACAGTGCTCATGTATACCAAGGTAGTGTCACTGTACTTGACACAGTGCTCATGTATACCAAGGTAGTGTCACCGTACTTGACACAGTGCTCATGTATACCAAGGTAGTGTCACCGTAGTTGACACAGTGCTCATGTATACCAAGGTAGTGTCACCGTACTTGACACAGTGCTCATGTATACCAAGGTAGTGTCACCGTACTTGACACAGTGCTCATGTATACCAAGGTAGTGTCACCGTACTTGACACAGTGCTCATGTATACCAAGGTAGTGTCACCGTACTTGACACAGTGCTCATGTATACCAAGGTAGTGTCACTGTACTTGACACAGTGCTCATGTATACCAAGGTAGTGTCACTGTACTTGACACAGTGCTCATGTATACCAAGGTAGTGTCACTGTACTTGACACAGTGCTCATGTATACCAAGGTAGTGTCACTGTACTTGACACAGTGCTCATGTTTGCTCAAGAACATAATATTGTCCATAGGATGACGTGTCATGGTTGGCTGGGACCAAGTGAGAGGACAGGATCCACAAATGGTTAGGTGGATAGGCCCTTATGTCCCACCTCTCCCACCAGTATACACTGTATATTGGGGATAGGCCCTTATGTCCCACCTCTCCCACCAGTATACACTGTATATTGGGGATAGGCCCTTATGTCCCACCTCTCCCACCAGTATACACTGTATATTGGGGATAGGCCCTTATGTCCCACCTCTCCCACCAGTATACACTGTATATTGGGGATAGGCCCTTATGTCCCACCTCTCCCACCAGTATACACTGTATATTGGGGATAGGCCCTTATGTCCCACCTCTCCCACCAGTATACACTGTATATTGGGGATAGGCCCTTATGTCCCACCTCTCCCACCAGTATACACTGTATATTGGGGATAGGCCCTTATGTCCCACCTCTCCCACCAGTATACACTGTATATTGGGGATAGGCCCTTATGTCCCACCTCTCCCACCAGTATACACTGTATATTGGGGATAGGCCCTTATGTCCCACCTCTCCCACCAGTATACACTGTATATTGGGGATAGGCCCTTATGTCCCACCTCTCCCACCAGTATACACTGTATATTGGGGATAGGCCCTTATGTCCCACCTCTCCCACCAGTATACACTGTATATTGGGGATAGGCCCTTATGTCCCACCTCTCCCACCAGTATACACTGTATATTGGGGATAGGCCCTTATGTCCCACCTCTCCCACCAGTATACACTGTATATTGGGGATAGGCCCTTATGTCCCACCTCTCCCACCAGTATACACTGTATATTGGGGATAGGCCCTTATGTCCCACCTCTCCCAACAGTATACACTGTATATTGGGGATAGGCCCTTATGTCCCACCTCTCCCACCAGTATACACTGTATATTGGGGATAGGCCCTTATGTCCCACCTCTCCCACCAGTATACACTGTATATTGGGGATAGGCCCTTATGTCCCACCTCTCCCACCAGTATACACTGTATATTGGGGATAGGCCCTTATGTCCCACCTCTCCCACCAGTATACACTGTATATTGGGGATAGGCCCTTATGTCCCACCTCTCCCACCAGTATACACTGTATATTGGGGATAGGCCCTTATGTCCCACCTCTCCCACCAGTATACACTGTATATTGGGGATAGGCCCTTATGTCCCACCTCTCCCACAAGTATACACTGTATATTGGGGATAGGCCCTTATGTCCCACCTCTCCCACCAGTATACACTGTATATTGGGGATAGGCCCTTATGTCCGACCTCTCCCACCAGTATACACTGTATATTGGGGATAGGCCCTTATGTCCGACCTCTCCCACCAGTATACACTGTATATTGGGGATAGGCCCTTATGTCCCACCTCTCCCACCAGTATACACTGTATATTGGGGATAGGCCCTTATGTCCCACCTCTCCCACCAGTATACACTGTATATTGGGGATAGGCCCTTATGTCCCACCTCTCCCACCAGTATACACTGTATATTGGGGATAGGCCCTTATGTCCCACCTCTCCCACCAGTATACACTGTATATTGGGGATAGGCCCTTATGTCCCACCTCTCCCACCAGTATACACTGTATATTGGGGATAGGCCCTTATGTCCGACCTCTCCCACCAGTATACACTGTATATTGGGGATAGGCCCTTATGTCCCACCTCTCCCACCAGTATACACTGTATATTGGGGATAGGCCCTTATGTCCGACCTCTCCCACCAGTATACACTGTATATTGGGGATAGGCCCTTATGTCCGACCTCTCCCACCAGTATACACTGTATATTGGGGATAGGCCCTTATGTCCCACCTCTCCCACCAGTATACACTGTATATTGGGGATAGGCCCTTATGTCCGACCTCTCCCACCAGTATACACTGTATATTGGGGATAGGCCCTTATGTCCCACCTCTCCCACCAGTATACACTGTATATTGGGGATAGGCCCTTATGTCCCACCTCTCCCACCAGTATACACTGTATATTGGGGATAGGCCCTTATGTCCCACCTCTCCCACCAGTATACACTGTATATTGGGGATAGGCCCTTATGTCCGACCTCTCCCACCAGTATACACTGTATATTGGGGATAGGCCCTTATGTCCCACCTCTCCCACCAGTATACACTGTATATTGGGGATAGGCCCTTATGTCCGACCTCTCCCACCAGTATACACTGTATATTGGGGATAGGCCCTTATGTCCGACCTCTCCCACCAGTATACACTGTATATTGGGGATAGGCCCTTATGTCCCACCTCTCCCACCAGTATACACTGTATATTGGGGATAGGCCCTTATGTCCCACCTCTCCCACCAGTATACACTGTATATTGGGGATAGGCCCTTATGTCCCACCTCTCCCACCAGTATACACTGTATATTGGGGATAGGCCCTTATGTCCGACCTCTCCCACCAGTATACACTGTATATTGGGGATAGGCCCTTATGTCCGACCTCTCCCACCAGTATACACTGTATATTGGGGATAGGCCCTTATGTCCGACCTCTCCCACCAGTATACACTGTATATTGGGGATAGGCCCTTATGTCCGACCTCTCCCACCAGTATACACTGTATATTGGGGATAGGCCCTTATGTCCGACCTCTCCCACCAGTATACACTGTATATTGGGGATAGGCCCTTATGTCCGACCTCTCCCACCAGTATACACTGTATATTGGGGATAGGCCCTTATGTCCCACCTCTCCCACCAGTATACACTGTATATTGGGGATAGGCCCTTATGTCCCACCTCTCCCACCAGTATACACTGTATATTGCTTGTTAACTATACAAAGTATTAACCATGTTAAATTTTCCCTATACAACCAGTCTCCTTTACATACATTACAGTATTACATTAACTCGTATGTGAGAGAGATCTTCGCGACGCTCTGGACGACAGATTAACATAAATTTTCAAAGAAAAGGCAAAAAACAAGAAAACTTTATTGTGAAATTTATGTTAGTAGTCCGTCCCAAATGTGTGGCTGTGACGTCATCACAACTTATTACCAGCAGTGACGTCATCACAACACACTGGGACTCAGTGTGAGGGTTGCAGAACCTTCAGTGTTTCACAAGCGGCCTTGTCCCTGTCCTACTTCTTCTCGGAACCTCACACTCCTCATACAACGGTATCTCCCTCTGTTGTGAACCTCACTTCTCTCATACAACGGTATCTCCCTCTGTTGTGAACCTCACTTCTCTCATACAACGGTATCTCCCTCTGTTGTGAACCTCACTTCTCTCATACTGCGTTATCTCCCTCTGTTGTGAACCTCACTACTCTCATACAACGGTATCTCCCTCTGTTGTGAACCTCACTACTCTCATACAACGGTATCTCCCTCTGTTGTGAACCTCACTTCTCTCATACAACGGTATCTCCCTCTGTTGTGAACCTCACTTCTCTCATACAACGGTATCTCCCTCTGTTGTGAACCTCACTTCTCTCATACTGCGTTATCTCCCTCTGTTGTGAACCTCACTACTCTCATACAACGGTATCTCCCTCTGTTGTGAACCTCACTACTCTCATACAACGGTATCTCCCTCTGTTGTGAACCTCACTTCTCTCATACAACGGTATCTCCCTCTGTTGTGAACCTCACTACTCTCATACAACGGTATCTCCCTCTGTTGTGAACCTCACTTTTCTCATACAACGGTATCTCCCTCTGTTGTGAACCTCACTTCTCTCATACAACGGTATCTCCCTCTGTTGTGAACCTCACTACTCTCATACAACGGTATCTCCCTCTGTTGTGAACCTCATTACTCTCATACAACGGTATCTCCCTCTGTTGTGAACCTCACTATACTCACACAACGGTATCTCCCTCTGTTGTGAACCTCACTACTCTCATACAACGGTATCTCCCTCTGTTGTGAACCTCACTTCTCTCATACAACGGTATCTCCCTCTGTTGTGAACCTCACTTCTGTCACACAACGGTATCTCCCTCTGTTGTGAAACTCACTTCTCTCATACAACGGTATCTCCCTCTGTTGTGAACCTCACTTCTCTCATACAACGGTATCTCCCTCTGTTGTAAACCTCACTACCCCGATACAAGGGGTACCAGTGTTACTACCTGGTATGCTGGTCTACCTGAGTGCTGTATACCACTGTCAATCAAACAGAGTGCTTGTCTCAGCACAGCGGACGTGATTTTCCAAACAGATGGGAGAGCGTTGATCCCGGCACCTGCATCATGGGTTATACTCCCACCTGTTAACAGTGCTCTCACGAGTCTTACTTCCATCTCGTTGGAAATTCCACTTCGAGATATAACGAATGATGATGCGTTTGTCATTTTAATGTATTTTAACGAAACAAGAGACATTCGTGCGAGGCTTCACGTAAGATGACGAAAACTCGTGCGAGGCTTCACGTAAGATGACGAAAACTCGTGCGAGACTTCACGTAAGATGACGAAAACTCGTGCGAGGCTTCACGTAAGATGGCGAAAACTCGTGCGAGGCTTCACGTAAGATGACGAAAACTCGTGCGAGGCTTCACGTAAGATGACGAAAACTCGTGCGAGGCTTCACGTAAGATGACGAAAACTCGTGCGAGGCTTCACGTAAGATGGCGAAAACTCGTGCGAGGCTTCACGTAAGATGACGAAAACTCGTGCGAGGCTTCACGTAAGATGACGAAAACTCGTGCGAGGCTTCACGTAAGATGGCGAAAACTCGTGCGAGGCTTCACGTAAGATGACGAAAACTCGTGCGAGGCTTCACGTAAGATGACGAAAACTCGTGCGAGGCTTCACGTAAGATGACGAAAACTCGTGCGAGGCTTCACGTAAGATGAATGTACATAGTATTTCCATATAAAAAAAGATGGCCGATGACAACGATGCCAATAATGAAGAGTTTTGTCTCACTAGAACATTAATAACATAATTCTGCGCACACGGTCATCGTAACGTAATCCAGACGTTGTAAAAATGTTCTAATGCAATGTTCATCATATTGGTGAGCAGGAATTGTGTCGTCTCTTTCCATCTATTCACACTTTCCATACATCATGTATATGCAGTAACACATTTGCTCAGGAGGGGAAACATAGCTATAATCAGTGTTCCAGTTTTATGCTGCTAAACAGCACTTAAACCTATTTAGGACGTTGTTCCAACATTATAGCTTATGTTGGAATACGGCATAGTGGTTGAATACGGCACAGTGGTTGATACGGCACAGTGGTTGATACGGCACAGTGGTTGATACGGCACAGTGGTTGATACGGCACAGTGGTTGATACGGCACAGTGGTTGATACGGCACAGTGGTTGAATACGGCATAGTGGTTGATACGGCATAGTGGTTGATACGGCACAGTGGTTGATACGGCACAGTGGTTGAATACGGCATAGTGGTTGATACGGCACAGTGGTTGAATACGGCATAGTGGTTGATACGGCACAGTGGTTGAATACGGCACAGTGGTTGAATACGGCACAGTGGATGAATACGGCACAGTGGTTGAATACGGCACAGTGGTTGAATACGGCATAGTGGTGTAATACGGCACAGTGGTTGAATACGGCACAGTGGTTGAATATGGCACAGTGGTTGAATACGGCATAGTGGTTGAATACGGCATAGTGGTTGAATACGGCACAGTGGTTGAATACGGCACAGTGGTTGAATACGGCACAGTGGTTGAATACGGCATAGTGGTTGAATACGGCATAGTGGTTGAATACGGCATAGTGGTTGAATACGGCACAGTGGTTGAATACGGCATAGTGGTTGAATACGGCACAGTGGTTGAATACGGCGCAGTGGTTGAATACGGCACAGTGGTTGAATACGGCACAGTGGTTGAATACGGCACAGTGGTGTAATACGGCACAGTGGTTGAATACGGCACAGTGGTTGAATACGGCATAGTGGTTGAATACGGCATAGTGGTTGAATACGGCATAGTGGTTGAATACGGCACAGTGGTTGAATACGGCACAGTGGTGTAATACGGCACAGTGGTTGAATACGGCACAGTGGTTGAATACGGCATAGTGGTTGAATACGGCACAGTGGTTGAATACGGCATAGTGGTTGAATACGGCACAGTGGTTGAATACGGCATAGTGGTTGAATACGGCATAGTGGTTGAATACGGCACAGTGGGTGAATACGGCACAGTGGTTGAATACGGCATAGTGGTTGAATACGGCACAGTGGTTGAATACGGCACAGTGGTTGAATACGGCACAGTGGTTGAATACGGCATAGTGGTTGAATACGGCACAGTGGTTGAATACGGCACAGTGGTTGAATACGGCACAGTGGTTGAATACGGCACAGTGGTTGAATACGGCATAGTGGTTGAATACGGCACAGTGGTTGAATACGGCATAGTGGTTGAATACGGCATAGTGGTTGAATACGGCACAGTGGGTGAATACGGCACAGTGGTTGAATACGGCATAGTGGTTGAATACGGCACAGTGGTTGAATACGGCACAGTGGTTGAATACGGCATAGTGGTTGAATACGGCATAGTGGTTGAATACGGCACAGTGGTTGAATACGGCACAGTGGTTGAATACGGCATAGTGGTTGAATACAGCATAGTGGTTGAATACGGCACAGTGGTTGAATACGGCACAGTGGTTGAATACGGCATAGTGGTTGAATACGGCACAGTGGTTGAATACGGCACAGTGGTTGAATACGGCACAGTGGTTGAATACGGCACAGTGGTTGAATACGGCACAGTGGTTGATTGATACGGATTGCGAGGTTGTTAGTGAGAAATCTCTGGGCACATCTAATAAGATATCTATTGATAATATTTTGTTGCCAAATGCAGACAGTAAGTCACAATAACGGGGCTGAAAATTAGACACCCGACCCACACATCTGAAAATGAAAGATTTAATTTTTTTTACATTTCTTATTATATGTATTATGGAGATTTTAAATAACTTTTACTTGACCATTATCAAGTCAAAGTTTTTTAAGAGCTCCATAATACATTTAAGAGTTATAGTCTGATTTTACATGTTCGAAACCTGTTGGAAAATGGTCTTGTGACGTTGGAGGAATTAAGGGTAACTAGTGAAGCCCTCACTAGTGACCAGAGGCTGTGAGGCAGTGTTGACCAGACCACACACTAGATGGTGAAGGGACGACGACGTTCCGGTCCGTCCTGGACCATTCCCAAGTCGATTGTGACTTGAGAATGTGGATCATTCTCAAGACAATCGACTTGAGAATGGTCCAGGACGGACCGAAACGTCGTCGTCCCTTCACCTTCTAGTGTGTGGTGTGGTCAATATACTTTAGCCACGTTATTGTGACTCATCGCCTGCATGTGGGGCAATGTTCCATCAGTGAGAGATCCCCTCCGCCTCGAGTACCACACGGGACTCACTCCACTCCTCTTCAACTCTCCCTCTTCACCAGCTGAAACTCTTGTGAACCTAAATCAAATATTATAAGTATTTTTGTCTATACAAGCCAATGATCTTGTTACCAGACGCTCAATCTTGTGGGAATATACTATTATTCCTTAACTAATTAACAAACTTGTGATTGAGTTTTCTATTATATTTTGCTTAGAGCTGAGAGAAGAGAAACTGATCGATGATTGGTTATTGACTGAGGTTCTTATCTCTTGTATATTGGTGAATACCACACAGATAGAATAAGACCCAGAAAGAATACGACCCAGTGGTTGGTGGTGAGGATGATTGTGATGGTGGTAGTGAAGATTATAGTCACGGTGGTGGTGAGGATGATAGTGACGGTGGTGGTGAGGATGATAGTGACGGTGGTGATAGTGATGATAGTGACGGTGGTGGTGAGGATGATAGTGACGGTGGTGGTGAGGATGATAGTGACGGTGGTGGTGAGGATGATAGTGACGGTGGTGGTGAGGATGATAGTGACGGTGGTGATAGTGATGATAGTGACGGTGGTGGTGAGGTTGATAGTGACGGTGGTGATAGTGATGATAGTGACGGTGGTGGTGAGGATGATAGTGACGGTGGTGGTGAGGATGATAGTGACGGTGGTGGTGAGGATGATAGTGACGGTGGTGATAGCGATGATAGTGACGATGGTGGTGAGGATGATGGTGACGGTGGTGATAGTGATGATAGTGACGATGGTGGTGAGGATGATAGTGACGGTGGTGGTGAGGATGATGGTGACGGTGGTGATAGTGATGATAGTGACGGTGGTGGTGAGGATGATAGTGACGGTGGTGATAGTGATGATAGTGACGAGGGTGGTGAGGATGATGGTGACGGCTGTGATAGTGATGATAGTGACGGTGGTGATAGTGATGATAGTGACGATGGTGGTGAGCATGATGGTGACGGCTGTGATAGTGATGATAATGATGCTCACAATAGTGAGCCAACTCGGTCGACTCTGGCCACAAATATATTAAATTAACTCCACACAAAAATGTTTGTCGAAAAATGCTAAATTAATTTCCTTGGTGTGGCTCTTCTTCTTTCCTGCCACTGCCCCTCTCCTTGCCCTCTCACTTCCTCTCCCACTCTCTTGTCTCTTCCTTCGCACTCCTTGCTCTTTCCTCCTGTCCTTCTCCACTCATACCAGCTGTCTCCTCTCACTCCTTCACTCCCACCGTCTGCTTCCTACTTCATCTCTCTCACACTCAGTTCTTCTGTCCCCTCTCTCTCTCCACCAACCCTTCCTCCACCACCAGCTGCACTCTCCTCCCTCACACTCTACCTAATACTCCTCTACACGCCTCTTGTGGACTTACTGGTCTCCGAGGGCGTTTTCTCCTTGTGAAAATAAGAGAAAATGACTTCTTCATTATTAAGTCTCTTCTATATGGAATTCTTTCCCACCTTCTTGAGTCTTCTCAGTGAGAAGTTTTCTTCTCTCTCACTGTCTTGGTTTAACTTTTATCAGAATGACTCTTATGTTGATATTGACGGTGTTGGTAGAGAGGCGGGTCATATGTGTGTGTACACGTGTACCAGCGAGCTCCTCATACCTGTCCTCCCTCCTCCTCCCATGACTCTCTAAACATTCCCAGTTCAATTTCAAAGACAAAATGAACTGATGACATCAATGGACAACAATACACAAAGCCGGAAATAACTTTACACCATCAAGTGTCTTGACTGTTGTGTAACTATTGTGTTCACCATCCCCTGGGTGACTGTGATCTCTCTAAGTGTTCACCATCCCCTGGGTGACTGTGATCTCCCTAAGTGTTCACCATCCCCTGGGTGACTGTGATCTCTCTAAGTGTTTACCATCCCCTGGGTGACTGTGATCTCTCTAAGTGTTCACCATCCCCTGGGTGACTGTGATCTCCCTAAGTGTTCACCATCCCCTGGGTGACTGTGATCTCTCTAAGTGTTCACCATCCCCTGGGTGACTGTGATCTCCCTAACTGTTCACCATCCCCTGGGTGACTGTGATCTCTCTAAGTGTTCACCATCCCCTGGGTGACTGTGATCTCTCTAAGTGTTCACCATCCCCTGGGTGACTGTGATCTCTCTAAGTGTTCACCATCCCCTGGGTGACTGTGATCTCCCTAACTGTTCACCATCCCCTGGGTGACTGTGATCTCCCTCACTGTTCACCATCCCCTGGGTGACTGTGATCTCCCTCACTGTTCACCATCCCCTGGGTGACTGTGATCTCCCTCACTGTTCACCATCCCCTGGGTGACTGTGATCTCCCTCACTGTTCACCATCCCCTGGGTGACTGTGATCTTCTCCAGTCAACCCAACTAACTTAATTGAGGGCGATGGTCACCAGTCCGAGGAAGCCTAAGTGTCACGAGGCTTTGAATTTCACTAAAGCACGGAAGGTTTTGACGCATGCCAGCCGCTGGTGCGGGCCGGGATGCGTGGGATGGGTTCAAGTGGTTCCCGAAGCGAAGGAGAAGTTGTCAAGGTGGCAGCAAGTGTGGACACTTACCTGGAGACTGGCAACATCAGTAGTACAAGAGTGCCAAGTGCCAGGAACCTTCGCCACAAACCCTGCAGCAGTTCTAAAGATACACGAGAGTATAGAAGCAGCAGCAGCAGAAACTGTGGCAGCGGGCCTTGGCAGACGGCCTTTGTATCTGTCTCGTAAAGATCTCCTCTCCTCCCACGAGGCGCTGAACGCCGCCACCGACAATCTTAGCGTTTAAGATTTAGCTTCCGTGTGAATGAAGACTACAACCTGCACTCGTACATAATTTCGGTACTTATTGAAATTATAGCACAAGAAAATTAACTCTTGTTGGGACTAAAGCATCGTTCTCGACAGGTTAGGAGAGTCGCCCAGGTTCATACGCTTTATGGTTAGGCAAAAGCGCTCCATTTTTTACACAGGTCAAATCTTAGGAAGAGTCTGGCGGCCTATAATGCCCCGTACACTCTCCAGGAGCTGAGTTTATACACCATCCTGGTCAAGAGGATATGTGTGTGTGTGTGTGTGTGTGTGTACTCACCTAATTGTACTCACCTAATTGTGCTTGCGGGGTTGAGCTCTGGCTCTTTGGTCCCGCCTCTCAACCGTCAATCAACTGGTGTACAGATTCCTGAGCCTATTGGGCTCTATCATATCTACATTTGAAACTGTGTATGGAGTCAGCCTCCACCACATCACTTCCTAATGCATTCCATTTACTAACTACTCTGACACTGAAAAAGTTCTTTCTAACGTCTCTGTGGCTCATTTGGGTACTCAGCTTCCACCTGTGTCCCCTTGTTCGCGTCCCACCAGTGTTGAATAGTTCATCCTTGTTTACCCGGTCGATTCCCCTGAGGATTTTGTAGGTTGTGATCATGTCCCCCTTACTCTTCTGTCTTCCAGTGTCGTGAGGTGCATTTCCCGCAGTCTTTCCTCATAACTCATGCCTCTTAGTTCTGGGACTAGTCTAGTAGCATACCTTTGGACTTTTTCCAGCTTCGTCTTGTGCTTGACAAGTGTGTGTGTGTGTGTGTGTGTGTGTGTGTGTGTGTGTGTGTGTGTGTGTGTGTGTGTGTGTGTGTGTGGGTGTGGGTGTGTGTGTGTGTGTGTGTGTGTGTGTGTGTGTGTGTGTGTGTGTGTGTGTGTGTGTGTGTGTGTGTGTGTGTGTGTGTGTGTGTGTGTGTGTGTGTGTGTGTGTGTGTGTGTGTGTGTGTGTGTGTGTGTGTGTGTGTGTGTGTGTGTGTGTGTGTGTGTGTGTGTGTGTGTGTGTGTGTGTGTGTGTGTGTGTGTGTGTGTGTGTGTGTGTGTGTGTGTGTGTGTGTGTGTGTGTGTGTGTGTGTGTGTGTGTGTGTGTGTGTGTGTGTGTGTGTGTGTGTGTGTGTGTGTGTGTGTGTGTGTGTGTGTGTGTGTGTGTGTGTGTGTGTGTGTGTGTGTGTGTGTGTGTGTGTGTGTGTGTGTGTGTGTGTGTGTGTGTGTGTGTGTGTGTGTGTGTGTGTGTGTGTGTGTGTGTGTGTGTGTGTGTGGGTCTAAGGCCTACACACCACTGGACGCTGGAGGGACACTGAGGCCGCCACAGCAGCTTACTGACCGTAACTTTAGTCCTCGACATCGTCCAGGACTAAAGTTAACGGTGTTAACTTTAATTCTTTAGTTAACAATGTTAATTTTAGCCCGTATTCTCGGTATATATACACACACAGTATACGGATACTCGATGTTTATATCCCGGTGACTATTTCAGTTGAAGCACAGAGAATATTTATTTTTAACTTTAGTTAATTTTTAAATTATCTTAACATTTATTTCTTTATTTGAGTTTTGAATATTTGT